GACCATCGGGAACGTAGCGGCCAGCATGTACATGTGGCCCAAGGTGCTCGAGGTGTACGACGACCAGCCGCTGTGAGTGCCATGAGGTCACAAGCGACAAAGGTTCATGCGAGAAAGAGCACTGCTCATAGCCCTGGGGGTGTCGCTGAGTGCCTCAAAGGGTTTGTCAGTAGCAGCCAGCATGTACATGTGGCCCAAGGTGCTCGAGGTTTACAGTGACCAGCCTCCCTAAACCCATGAGGTCAGAAGGCACAAGTGACTAGGAGTCCTAGTGGGAACGAGCACTGTTTATCGCCTAGGCAGGGTCCAGGGATTGTCAGTCACTGGGGAAGGGTCTGGCACTCACACCAGCCAGCATGTACATGTGGCCCCAAAGGTGCGCGAGGTGTATGACGACCAGCCGCTTGTTAATGATGAGTGCCATGAGGTGAGGCAATGATGAAAGAGCACAAGCACGAGTTTAACAAGCACTGAGTGCTTGTTAAGATCTTAATTGACGGAGTCTGTCGTTCCCCCCTCCTCGTTCCCAATTAAGATCTTAATTGGTAGGGCATCATGCACATCACGTCCCACCTCTTGTGTTACTCTTGAGAATTCTTCCTCCCCCTTTACGTCTTCCTCCCCCCACTCCTCCCCCCCGTTCCCCCCTACCCTTTTAGTGCCCCCATCGGCTGGTTGGTGATTGCCCACATCAAGGCCACCCATTTGCGCAATCTGGGCGGCATGATGGCCAAGTCTGACCCCTACGTGCACTTCTCCCCCCACTCACACCCTTCCCCTTCCCTGCTCCTCCCATCCACCTCCCCCCCCCCTGCTCCTCCCTTGCTTTCTCTCCTCCCCCCCCCAGCGCTCCCATCGGCTGGTTGGTCATAACGCACATCAAGGCCACCCATCTGCGCAACCTGGGAGGCATGATGGCCAAGTCCGACCCCTACATGCGCTTCTCCATAGACGGCCGCGCGCTGGGCCGCCGCAACACATCAGTGAAGAAGGACGATTTGGACCCCGACTGGGGCAAGGAGGAGCTGCTGGTCAGGGTCGCTGACTTGCAGAAGCAGAAGCTGCATGTCGAAGTGTTCGACAAGTCCTTTACGGTGAGTTGGCGGTGTTTTCTGAGTTCAAGTGTGGCCCAAGCCCGAGCCCTACGCATGCTTCTCTAGGGCCGCCTCAGCACGTCGGTGAAGGACGATTTGAACCCCGAGTGGGGCAAGGAGGAGCTGCTGGTGCGCGTGGCCGACCTGCAGAAGCAGAAGCTGCATGTTGAAGTGTATGACAAATCATTCACGGTGAGTGGAGTTATTATGGTTATAAGGTGGTCAACATTCTCAACTGGTGCTCTCTCGTGCGCGTGGCAGACCTACAGAAGCAGAAGCTGCACGTGGATGTATTTGTTTGACTTTTGAGAATTCTCAAAAGTCACTTTTGAGGCGCCTCAAAAGTCGTCTCAAAAGTCACACCAATGAAGCTGCACGTGGATGTATTTGACAACTCCTTCACAATGAGTGGGGCGGGCAAGGAGGCGCACCAGAAGAGAAATTTTGTCCTTGAAGTCACCTCTTGTGGACCCCGACTGGGGCAAGGAGGAGCTGCTGGTGCTTGGGCTGATGTTCAGAAGCAGAAGCTGCATGTTGAGGTGTATGACGAGTCCTTCACAGAGGGCACTTTGAGTCCCACCTTGTGACACACTTTCCTGACGCTAATGCTGCCCCCCCCCCCCCCCTCCCCTCTCCTCCCTGTCCTGCCGCCAGAGCAAGCCAGACAAGGGGATTCACGAGGGGGCTCCCACGCACTTTGCTGACCCTCTTGCTCTCAATCCCCCCCCAATCCCCCCCCCAATCCCCCCCCCAATCCCCCCCCCAATCCACTCCCTCGCCTGCCACCAGAACAAGCCGGACAAGCTGATGAGCGTCACGCGTGTGGCTCTGGAGGGCCTTCACGAGGGCGCTGTGCTCCGACACACCTATCTGACGCTCTTTCCCAACCCCTTCCCCCTACATCTACAGGACGCTCCTGACGCTCCTGACGCTCTTTCCCAAACCCTTCCCCCTTCCCTCCCTCCCTCTCCTGTCACGCGGGTGCCTCTGGAAGGTCTTCACGAGGGCGCTGTGCACACACCTTGCTAACGCTCTTGCTAAAACACGCCCTTCCTTCCCTTTCCCCCTTCCCCCAACCACCAGAACAAGCCAGACAAGCTGATGAGCGTCACACGGGTGTCTCTGGAGGGCATTCACGAGGGTGCTCCCACGCACTTTGAGTCCCGCCTCGTGGCTCGCTTTGCTGATCTCGAGCCGGGCACACAGACAGGCAGCAAGAAGGACCTTGGGTTTGTGGGGTTTGACATCAAGCTGCGGTGAGTCCCTGTTTGATTCAAACAATGAAGCAGCAAGTTTTGATGCAGGCAGGGAGAAGGGCGGGTGCGTATGCGTACAGACGTGCAGACAGGCAGCAAGAAGGACCTCGGGTTTCTGGGCTTTGACATCAAGCTGCGGTGAGTTTCCAGTTCGATTAGAAGAATCAAGCATGAAGTGATGATGCAGGCAGTGAGAATGGGGGGCGCTTTATGTGTAGAGACACGCAGACAGGCAGCAAGAAGGACCTCGGGCAGCAAGAAGGACCTCGGGCAGCAAGAAGGACCTCGGGTTTCTGGGATTTGACGTCAAGCTGCGCTGCGGTGAGTTCGGTTCACATGGGAATGTTTCGTCGACTTTAGCAATCACATGGTAAGTAGGACCTCCTTGGGAGAGGCAGAGATTTGTTGAGGCGTCTCAAAAAGCAATCACACGGTAAGTAGGACCTCCTCAGGAGAGGCAGAGATGCCAGATGACTTGGAAATTGAGGTCTTTCCCTCGTGGCCCAACGTGGGGTCGGCGGGGTCCTCCTCTCCTCTCCCCCTCTCCCTTCTCACATGTCTCCTGTCTCTCTTCCCTTTCTCTTCCCCTCTCTCCCTCCCTCCGTCCCTCCCTCCAGTCCGTTGGCCAAGGGAGAGGCAGAGATGCCAGACGACGTGGAGATCGAGGTCTTCCCCTCGTGGCTCAAGGTTGGGGGTGGGCGCCTGCGCATCATGCTACGCGAGGGGGAGAACCTCGAGTCCAACAAGCACGCCAACCCCTTCGTGCAGCTGCGTTTCCGAGCCCACGAGTGGACGAGCAAGGTGCACAAGAAGGCGGCAGAGCTGACGTTTGATGAGGACGACAAGTGGGAGTTGCTGCTGGATGAGCCTCCTGCCAAGGACGTGCTCCATGTGAAGGTCTACAGCAAGAACATGAGCACGATTTCTATCTCCTCCTCCAAGGTACGCACTTGAAACACCTATTCACCCCTCTCCACCTCCTAGCACCGTACTATAGCACTCTCTCTTCCTTTCAAGGTACGCACCTCCTCCTCCTCCTCCTCCTCCTCCTCCTCCTCCTCCTCCTCCTCCTCCTCCTCCTCCTCCTCCTCCTCCTCCTCCTCCTCCTCCTCCTCCTCCTCCTCCTCCTCCTCCTCCTCCTCCTCCTCCAAGGCACGAGTGGACGAGCAAGGTGCACAAGAAGGCGCCAGAGCTGACGTTCAATGAGGACGACAAGTGGGAGCTGCTGCTGGATGAGCCTCCTGCCAAGGACGTGCTCCATGTGAAGGTCTACAGCAAGAACATGAGCACGATTTCTATCTCCTCCTCCAAGGTATGGTCTTACTGATGTCGGGAGTAGTACCACAGCCTTCGCCTTACTGTGAGTTTTCTTACATATGTTCTCTTTCTCTCTCTGTCCTCCCCCCCCCCCCCCCCCTCTGGTTCACACCCCGGCTCCCTCTCTCACATTTCCCCTCCCCCAGCACCTCCCCATCCCCCTCTGCAGGATTGCGTAAGCCACTGCGACATCAGCCTCTCAGATGTGGTGGCGACCAGTTGCATCAACGACTTCTACCTGCTCTCTGATTCTCTCTCTTTCTTGCTGCCATCTCCCTCCCACTCTCACCCCTCCCAACCTGAGCAGGACCTCATTGGTCACTGCGACATCAACCTGTCAGACGTGGTGGCCAACGGGCGCATCAACGACTTCTACCTGCTCTCCGACTCGCCCAAGAACGGGCGCATCAAGATCGAGCTGCAGTGGCACGAGCGCACCCCCGAGTCCACCGTCGTCAACGAGCCTCCTCCCGCCACCCGCGTGCAGTAGAGGCTAGCCGCAGCCGCCAGGTGGAATGCAGAAGAAACAAACCACCTTCTGTCACCGGCGTGGCACGAGCGCACCGCCAAGTCAATCGTTGTCAATGAGCCTCCTCCCGCCACCCGTGTTTGATGAGAGTTGGTGAGAGTTGGTGAGGTGAGGTGTGTTTGATTGTTATTCACTAGTGTGAATGGATTGGTATGGAATGGGTGGGTGATCGAGCAGCAGTGGCACCGCAATGGATGGAGCTGAGCTGGGTATGTGGCATGCAAAGCAGCACATTTCTTTGTGTGGTTGAGCTGGAACTAGTGTAGTGTAGCTAAAGTAGACTCACTGCGCTACAGTGCATTACAATGAAGAGTTGGCTGGTTGTGATTGGATGTTCGGTCTTGACAGGCTTGTTGCATCGGGTTTTGGTAGTAGTAGAGGTGGTATGCCAGTGCCACCAATGTGAATTGAGATGAGGTGACTCCTGAGATGTTTTACACTAGTACATATTGCTGTCTGAGGTTTCACATTTATGAAAATTCTGGAAGAATTCTCAGGTTTATGATCTTCCGTTTGACAGCCAAATTATCTGGTTTCCGGTGCAATGCAATCAATCCCAAGTTTGATTAGGAAACTTACATATCAGCAGCAGGTGTACACTTGGCAGTGATTTGCACAAGTACCATATGTGCAGCCCAAACAGCTGTTAATCGTTGGTGGTATTTCAGCTCGCTCTTGAAATTCAGCAAATCCAGTCGGAATTGCGGATTGATCTTTGAGTTCCTAACTTCCAGGTGTCCTCATTCGCGCAGTCAGTCTCACTCCCCTGTAGTTACATTTCTACATGTTTAAAGCCAGACATTGTCATGCATTCAGGGGCGGTAAGACAGCATCTGGCCCCACATGGTCGTCAGCAGCAGTCGACATGAGAGCACACTCGTCCTTCAGTGCTTGGCCTAGCATCTCAGCAGACAGGCTGTCTCCCGGACACAGCCCCAGCGACTGTTCATGCTCAAGGGGGGTTGGCAGAGAAAGGGGTGTCAAGGGGGGTTGGTGAAAGATGCAAATATCATGGTTTACAGAGCCCCAGGCCTGCTTATGTTTGTGAGCAGTGGTTGGGGCAGGGGAATGAGAAGGGGGATGGGGAAACAAATGCTTCCATAATTGCCCACTTGACATGACGGGAAGGGAGAAGAGGGGAGTGAGACAGGCGGGAAGGAGGGGACGGGGGATGTGCTGTGCTGTGATGCATGGTGCCCGAGAGTCAATACACACCTGGTGCGACTCAGCGACAGCAGCATGTTTCCACCATGGACTTGTGCAGGAACAAAGGCAGGCAGCAAGGACAGAGCGGCTAAACAAAGAACAGATAGCTTGTTGGGAACGGAATGAGGTTTGTACAATAGTAAGAAGTGCCAATCCCACCTTGTGGTAGAACTCAATAGCGGGGATGAGGTTTCCTTGCAGGTGGTGGGTGAAGGCCATGGCTGCAAAGGTGCTGGCAGTGTTGGGGCGAAGAGAGAGCGCCTGCTCGTACACCATCAGCGCATCACCATATCTCCTGCTTGGATGAATTGGGGAATGGAAAAAAAACGGAGGGGGGTGGGAAAGGGGGAAACGAAGTAGTGGGTGAAGGCCATGGCTGCAAAGGTACTGGCAGTGTTGGGGCGGAGAGAGTGAGCCTGATCGTACACCGTCAGTGCATCGCCGTATCTCCTGCTCAGGGTGGGAAGGGAGACAGAAAAGAAGGCGGTTGGCCACAAAAAGGGAGATCGCCTCACCTCCCTCCCTCCTCTCACATTCCTCCTCTAATTTCCCTCTCCCCATTTCCCTCACCCAATTCCCTTGCCCTATTTCACTCAACCCATTCCCCTCACCCTATTCCCCTCACCCTATTCACCTCACCCTCAACCCATTCCCCTCACCCCATTCCCCACACCCCATTCCCCACACCCCATTCCCCACACCCCATTCCCCTCACCCCCCTGCCTCACTCCATCCCCTCGCTCACCTCACTTTCCGGTACGAGTGACCAAGGTTGACCACGGTTGACCACGGTCGACTCCCACAGACCCAGCGATTCCGCCACCACAGCCTGCCGCACTGCTGCCGCATTCAAGCTCCCCCTCCTCCCCTCGCTCTCTGCCCTTCCCCATCCTCCCTCACCGCAATCTCCCTCACCCCATTTCCCCCTCCCTCTCACCTCATCTTCCGGTATGAGTGACCAAGGTTGACCACAGTTGACTCCCACAGACCCAGCGATTCCGCCACCACAGCCTGTCGCCCTGCTGTCGCATTCGAGCTCCCTCGTGCCCCCTCGCTCTCTGCCCCGCCTCCTTCGCCCGCTGCTGCTCCATACCCAGCCACAAGACGTAGAGCCACTTCAAAGTGCCGCGCTGCTGAGGTGAAACTGGGAAATACAAAAGAAGTTGGGTAGGAAGAGGGGGGGTGGGGCGGGGGTAGGGAGAGGGGAGGGGAAGGGAAGGGGGAACGGAGGGAGGTATTGGGGAGCTGAGTGGGTGGAAGGTTGGTGTCTAGAGTCTCCTTCGCTGCTGCTTCTCTGTACCGTACCAAGAATCGCCTTGTCACCTCAAATTGCTGCTCTACTGCGATGAACTGAGGTTTTTGGATGCACTTTGTGAGGCGCAAGCGGAAAGTGGGAGGAAGAGGGAAGCCAAGGAAACAGCAAGGAAAGTGAAGAGAACAAGAAAAAAAAGAAAAACAGAAAGAAAGAATGGCATGGGCGGCATGGGTCTTACTCGAGGCTCCTGTAGGCAATGACTCCTAGCTCGTTATGCACTAGTGGATCCGAGGGGCATAGCCTGCGCGCCTCGTCCAAGAACTGGGCATGGGGGGGATTTGGGGGAGAAAGGTGCAAGAGAGGGAATGTTGAGAGAGGGAGCGAGGGGAGAAGGTGAGAGAGGCGAGAATGGGAAGTGGGGAGAAGGTGGTAGAACGGAGAATGAAAAAAGAGGAGCGAGGGGGAAGAGGGGAAGCAAGAGAAAGCATCTGGATGGACGAAACTGCATCTATCTTCTGAAACAAGGACCACAAGAGCAAGGAGAAATGAAGCTTGCAAGCAGCAGCTAGAACCCCCGGCTGTACGAGAGGTTGACTCACATGCAACGATAGACTGAGGTTGACTCACATGCAACGATAGACTGAGGTTGACTCACATGCAACGATAGACTGAGGTTGTTAGAGCGTGCATACTCCATGCCAATGCACACCAGAGGCACATGGAAGCTGCAGAACGAGAGGAAAACCGCGGGGAACGGGAGGGCATGAAGACACGGGGGAGGGCCGCATGGAGGGTAGAGGAGGGGGAAGGGGGTTCGGAGAGGGGGGATAGGGTGTGTAAATTGCAAGTAATAATCTATGGTTCTACGTACTAGAGGCACAGGGATGATGGCAGCATCTTCCAAAGTACAGTACATACCACATCATACCACATCACTTCACACCACACCACACCACGCAGTACACTCCATCGCAACGCGTATCAGAATACACCCTACCCTGTGAAGAGTCGCACTGCTGTGCGATAAGCCACCATGGCCTGATCCGTCTCCTCCTGTGCGGCATATGTGTGCCCAAAGCCCATCCACGCGGGGGCGAAGGCAGCGCTGACGGTGGTGGCCTTGCAGAAAAACCGCCTCGCCTGGTCGTGCTGGCGGATGCAGTAGTAGTAGCACGCCACGGCGAACCATGCCAGTGCTCTGCAAAGGATATGCCACGGGGGGAGTGTCGGTAACGGTGGTGATCATGCAATGTGCATTCTCGTGCTGCCTCATGCAGTAGTAGCAGCACGCCACTGCAAACCATGCCAACGCCCTGCCAAGGATATGCCACGGGCGGGAGTAACACCAACAGTTCTAGGGTGCCTTTGAAAATTATCAAAGGCAGCGCTGACGGTGGTGGCCTTGCAGTAGCACACTATTGCGAACCATGCCAACGCACTGCCAAGGGTGTGGTGTACCGTGGGTGGGAATAACAGTAACAATATTAGGGGACTTTTGAGTCCTCTAAAACACCCTGGTGGTGGTGGCCTTGCAGAAGAACCGCCTCGCTTGGTCGTGCTGCCGAATGCAGTGGTAATAGCAGGCCACCGCGAACCATGCCTGTGCTCTGACGAGCAACCACGGGTGGAAAACATTGCAAATTTATTGTACTGCCACAATACAACCATCGACTCACGTGTTGGGATGGTCGTCCACAACCTCGTGTGCTGCTCTGAAAAGCTCGCTCCTCATGCCCAGATGCACCGCTGCTACTGCACTGCACTCAGAGCCTCCCAAGAGGTGCTGGCACTGCTATAGAATAATAGAACCACCGACTCACGTGTTGGGATGGTCGTCCACAAGCTGGTGTGCCGCTCTGAAGAGCTCGTTCGTCCTGCCCGAGCCAAGTGCACCGCTGCAGCCTGTTAAGGCCAATCACAAGCTACCACCGACTCACGTGTTGGGATGGTCGTCCACAAGCTGGTGTGCCGCTCTGAAGAGCTCGTTCCTCCTGCCTAGGTGCACTGCTGCTACCAGGTGGGTGGGAATGCAGCGAGTGTTGTGCGGATCTCGGTCCAAGACACTGCCATGGGAAGGGTGGAGGAGGGAGACGAACAGGAAGGAGGGAGGAGATAGACACAGCAAGGCTGGATGAGGGAGAAGCAGCAAGGGCATAGGACGGAAGGAGGGATAAGCATACTGCAAGCTGTATGGTGATGACTACTGTCATGGTAATACGTACACCATTCTCCCACAAACTTACTGCTTTGTAATTCGGTACGCGTCCTCGTATCGCCCCACGTGCAGCATCAGCTCAGCACGGCTCGTTGCCACGTCACCACTGCCGCCCAGCAACCCTTGCTCCACCGTCCTCGCTCTTCCCCTCCCACCTCCCCCACCACCACCAGCACCACCACCGCCGTCCTTTGAAGCCCAGCCTAACCCTAACCCTACTCCTGCCTTCTTCCCAATGTCACTCACTCCCTGGCCAGTGTCATTCGCAGGATCACCTCCACCAGTGGCAGCAGCCGCAGCAACAGAAGCAACAGCGGCAGGTGTGGGTGTTTGCGAGGATGTGGACGTGGGGCGAGCAGAGATTCGTCTGTTGCCTTGACGGGTTGGCTGGTTGGAGAGAGGCGACGGGCCTTCCAGCAGCTTCAGCTGTTGCTCCACTGCGTCCTCTCTGCCATACTGGAGAGGAACAGAAACGTAAAACCACAGAAAGACCGGGGCACGTTTCAGTGAGGAATCCATCAGATCTGATAAGTTCGGGAGCGACGGGCATGACCGGTAAGAAAGAGGCTTCGTGATCGCAGACATAGGAGCAACGGAACGGAACTCCTTCTATAAAAAGGGAATGAGGGTATTACCTTCTTGCAGCGGCACGAATAGAGCAGACGCAGCCACTCAAAGCCAGCAGGGATGTTGAGAGACTCGACCAGATCGACCTCTGCAGAACACATATGCAGATGGGCGGCAGATGGAAGGCAGATGGGCAACGTTTTGAGGCGCCACAAAAACTGAAGCCAGCAGGGATGTTGAGAGACTCCACCAGATCGACCTCTGCACAACACAGATGCAGATGGCCGCCGATGGACGGGAGATGGGCAGCCCAAGGGAGGGCAACACGATTTAGGCGATATGCAAGCGAGGACGTAGAAGGAGCAACTGAGCAACTACTTAGGAGAGCATGCAGGTTTACGCTGTCCCATAGGAGGGAAGGAGGGAGGGGGTCAGATAGCGGGTTTTCTAGGCCCTAGGTGCGAGTCGTCACAGCATGGGAGCCCAGGAGGCATCCCGTGACTCGGTGCCCAGTGCGCTTCATCATGCCCCCCTCTTCATGCTCTCAGTCAGCACCTGATCGATTAATTTGGATCGACACAACACAGACCCATCTATTCACACTCTTTCACGTCCAACGATAAACATTAGACACAGCAGAAACACCAGACACGCCAGTCCTGTCATATCACACCAGACAGCATAAAAATCACCACCCAGCGCGCGCCCATGACAAAAACAAGACCTCACAGCACTCGCTCACCTTGTTCGGTTGTTAGCATATGATTTTCCATCAGCTCGTCATACGCCTGAGGTGACAGTCACACGCAAACACAGAGATAGACATGGGGAAGGACACAGTAAGGAACGGCAGCTCATCCATTGTAAGAACACAGCTTCTCCGTTCTAAGCACACAGCAAGCAAGGCAAGTCGTCACCGGAAATCATTGAACGCACAAGACTGGAGACGCACCTCTGAGCAAAACGGATCAGCCTGCAGCGCAGCCGAAAGCCTGAGAGGTGGAGAGCGACAAGGGAGAGAAAACATTGAAATAAGGGATAAGCCAATGAGACAGGCCCGGGGAAGTGGGACCGACGAAGGCGGGTTCGGGTGACACTGACAGAAACAGGAGAAGAAGGAAGTTGCAGCAGTACGGCAAAGATTTGCAGGAAAAAGCGGAAAGGAAGCAGTCAGACGGGAGGAAAGAGGGCTGCACAAGACGCAGGTATGAAGGTCAACGAGCTGAAGGTCGTTTGCTGGAGCATGTATTGACTGTCAGCACGCGAGCATGCTCAGATTCAAGCGTTGTGTAATCAGAGCCCATTGGGGTTGTCAGGATTTGATGGTGCTATGAGAATCATCATGGCAGGTTATATGTGCATGGAAACAGAGAGAGACCAAGCAGGCAGATCCCGCAGGAAAACTGGAGAAGACTTCCAGAGGAAACGAAAAGGGGGCCACACTGTAGATAAAACAAAATGATGAAATAAATTATTGATAACGTGTAGGCACAAGTATGGAAACAAAATTGCGTAAGGACGCAGGACCAGATATAGTTATCAGTAAGCGGACATGCTCAGATTCAAGCGTTGTGTGTAATCAGAGCCCATTTGGGTCGTCAGGATTTGATGGTGCTGTGAGAATCATCATGGCAGGTGGTATAGCGCAGGCACAGGGGAGTCCAGACTGGGACAAGGGTAACTGGGACAAGGCGACTAGGTATCGGGTTTATATTGGAAAAAACGCATAACAATAGTGAATAACGATCTTGTGATACAGTGGCAACGACGTTGGTAAGGACAGCTTGTACAGAGACGTAGATCTGCTCAGATTAAATGGATGTTGTGTAATCAGAACCCAACAGTAGGTATCAGGATTTGATGGTGCATTGTTTGTCGTCACAGCAGATCGCACGACTTCATGTTCAGCCAAAAATTAAGAGCATATGCGTGAAAAGGAGTAGGAGCGGGGGTCAGATAGCGGGTTTTCTAGGCCCTAGGTGCGAATCGTCACAGCATGGGATCCCATGAGGCATCCCGTGACTCAGTGCCCAGTGCGCTTCATCACACCCCTTCAATTCGTACTTGCTCGAGATACTCTTCCATTGCACACAACCCCTTTCTTTAATAATACAGAAAAAAGGCGCGCCTGGTGTCTGCTAAGCGAGTAAACAGAACTTGATGGCCGGCGCCAGGACTTTATGATGGATTGCTTATCGTCATGGCGGGTTGCACTGCAGAAAGGCCGACGAACACCAAGAAAGATGCAAGCGGAAATCGCTCCAGGGAGGACAAGTTGTTGTGTGGGGGGTCAGGTAGCGGGTTTTCTAGGCCCTTAAGTGCGATTCGTCACGGCAAGAGAGCACATGAGGCATCCCATGACTCAAAACCCAGTGCGCTTCATCACTCCCCCCGCACTGCTCTTTATCGCGCACATCTCAAACTCGTTGGCAAAAAAAACTAATTGAAGGAGATAACTACACGGCGTACCAATGGATCGCTTTTGGTCGATTTCCGAGAGCCTCGTACGCGCGACCGCGGATCAGATTGAACGCCGCTGCTGGCTGCAGGTCAGCAAGGTAGCAGGGAAGCCACAAGCCAGACAGAAAAACACATCAACGGTCGGCGCATAAGGGGTCACGACACGTGTAGCCGATTGACTGATAAAACGCGGTACATGGAGGGTAGACGTTGATGCACATGTCACAGCATGTACCAAATCCACTTAAGAGAGAGCTTAAGAGAGATTTTGAGCAATACCTTGATTCCATTCCGTGGCGAATCTTCAGACGCTCCTCCAAATGTCGGGGTGGACAGATCCAATCTCGTCGGAGCAAGAGCGTCAGAAGGCGTAAGAAATCCTCCCCCCGGTACCGGCGTAACCGGGAAGCCGGGCCAGCTCTTCCCAGCAGCAGCAGCTCCAGTGTTGTTAGCGTCTTCCAGCAATGCAAGGCATTCCTCCCACTCCTTGACTTGCTCCTGCTCAGAACGTCACCATCATAGGAGTCCAGTGAGGCTTCTCGTCCGCCTGCCGGTCCTACATCACATGAAAAGAAACCCAGAATCCAAAAGCGACCAATCCCATTAAGCTACAACAACAATGTTCAATATGGGCTCCAGATTGCTCAGAATGTGAACATTTCTCAGAAAACAATAAATAAATCGCGGTGGGCCAGACTTGCTAGAGAAAGGAACAAGCAATAAAAACATATCAAAAGCCGTTCCAGAACATAAGAAGTGAAGGATTCACTAACCAAGCATTTCGCTGCAAGAAGTCGAAAGCGGGTGTCAGAATGGACTAGATCCTCGGCCCGCAAAAGCCTCAACGCTCGTCTAAATTGCCGCGAACCATAGTAGCATCGCGCCAAAAGGAGGACGTCTTCAGGATCCTGAGAGGATAAGCAAGCGAGCTTATCGGCGAGAAACGAAGCGGAGCTGATCAGGTTCTTGTCCAGGCAATCCCGGACGATCACGCGTAGGCAATCTAGCTCTGACATGGCGACAGAGAATTCTACATCAATCAAGGAATGTCGTATGACAATAGGGAGACCAGATTCGCGAGGAGTACACAACAATTTGCTTCCAACGAACTGCAGTGGGAACCACAGCAGATTCAATGATACTGATTTGGATGAGGACGAGGTTTGAAGGAGAGCTAGATCAGAAGGGAAATTTGAAGTGTTTGAATTGATCAGAGAATGGACAGTGTTGAAGACCACCATCATCCACACCAAGCCAAGCCACAACAGCTGCACTCGAGTTTTGGATGAGAGAACTCGTTATGCGGACAATGGCTTGTCAATAACGGATGACGGGATGTATGGAGAATTTTCCAGTGTATTACGCCGATATGTAAATTCAGAATTTTGTACATGCAGTGTACCGAGAATGAGCGACCGTTGCACGAACTTGGGTTTGTCAGGGCGGGAAACGGGCTGTTTCTCGGCGAGTCGGCGAAGGTGCGATGACAGTGACACATCGCCGTGGCAGTCAGAACAATCTTGCGCGGCGGATCCCCTTTCCGCTCCGCCAAAGCTTTCCGCGGGCGCAATATATTGGAGGCTTCGCATCTTTTCCGCCTATTTCCCGCTCCGCGGAAGGTTGCAGTCAGTTTGGTTGGTTGTTCTGGTGTGGCACTCACGTCAATGACACATCCGCGTTGTCCTCTGGCTGTTCGTCAAGCATTCCGTCCCGTTTTACCCAACCAACCAACCAGCGACGACACATTCCGTCAGTCAACCCAGCCAGAATGATACCGTTCAAGCAACCGGAGTCTCTCATTCTGGAACTACCTCACAGATTGTGTTCTGATGCATTCATTGACATCCATTAATTTCAGCTAGCTAGTCCGTTGTTTATTGAAGGAACTACCTCCTAGACTTCTGTTTGCAGCCTCCGAGGTATCCTATCACACCGCTTGACACCTTACGAGCTAGCGTCTGCTCCGCAATATCTCCTCGGACTTCTTGAGCTGCTGCCATATAGTGTGCAGTCACTCTTCTTGCTAGCGTCAACGAAGTCACCATGAATCCTGAGTAGTGGGTATCCAAGCAGTTGTTGGAGCTCGGAACCGTTTTAAGAGTAATAAGCTGCTGATAGATCTCTGGGTATTTTGCTTGTGCAGTGACTACCTGTTCAAGCTTTTGTTGATTGGCGACTCTGGTGTTGGCAAATCGTGCCTTCTCCTCCGTTTCGCCGTAAGGAACTTATACTGCTTCGAGGTTCATTAGATTTATATGATTCGTCACTCTTTAATTAGTGATATCTGTATCCCATTCATCTCATCAGGATGACTCGTATTTGGAGAGCTACATCAGCACCATCGGCGTGGACTTCGTGAGTTGTTATTCTCGTTTTCTCTTGAGTATCTTGTTTAGCTGTGCCATCTGAGGCTGATATTAGTCCCCTTGAACGCGTTACAGAAAATCCGCACTGTGGAGCTCGATGGCAAGACGATCAAGCTTCAGATCGTAAGTTCCGTCAGGTTAGATCCTTTAGTGAATGCTATCTTCAGTGGCTGTTCTAATGCTGAACCAATCTTTCTTGCAGTGGGACACTGCAGGACAAGAACGCTTCAGAACCATCACTAGCAGTTACTATCGTGGAGCACATGGAATTATTGTAAGTGACTCGCTTATGTTAGGTTGTCGGGAGATAGTGCATATGTCGTTTGCTGACTTATTTACCGATTACTATGGCGCAGGTTGTCTACGATGTTACTGATCAAGAGAGCTTCAACAACGTGAAGCAGTGGTTGAACGAGATTGACCGATACGCTAGCGAGAACGTCAACAAGCTACTTGTTGGTAACAAGTGCGATCTTACCAACAAGAGAGTCGTGGATTATCAAACGGCAAAGGTGAGACCTACCTTTTGAAATCTTCTTTTTATATGAGTCTTGAGAACCTAGCGACTTCTATTTCCCCATATCCTACAGCATATTATCAGAAAGTACAGCATAAACAAGGAAATATGAGTTGGATGCACTGGCTTCATTGCGAACTTTGTTGTTCATGGGTAGCATACGATACGCTGCCATTGTTTCATTTGCGTCTTCCCTCCGTCTATCCCGAACTGATGGCAGGCTTTTGCTGATGAGATTGGCATCCCTTTTTTGGAGACCAGTGCAAAGAACGCCACAAATGTAGAGCAGGCTTTCATGACTATGGCAGCTGAGATTAAGAACAGGTATGTAGTTCAATTACAGTATGTTCCACCTGGCATGTCTTCATTGCCCGAGTTCGACATTGCCGTCATTTCCGCCACTTACCTTCTCCATTTGTTGCTCCCTTTGCCCCACCAATACCTTCAACATCCGTTTCCTGTCCGAACCCCCCCCCCCCCGCCTTCCCCCCCCCCCTCCTCCTCCCTCCCTCCCTTCCACTCCCCTCCTCCCTGCTCTTATTTCTTCAACCCCAATAGTTTTGCCCCTGCTGTTTTTCTCTTTTCGTGCAACATTGGAGGTCTCTTCCCGCCCCATAACCATTTTCTCCCCAACTCTCTTTTCCCCCTTCATAGTCCCCCCCCCTCCCCCTCTTTTTCCTCGCAATTAACCCCCCCTACTTCTCCCCCCACCCCTCCCAACCGCCCTTTTTGCTGCCTCTTAACGAATGTCCGAATGCTGTATCGGATGTTTTCTGTGCAGGATGGCGAGCCAGCCAGCATTGGGCAACAAGACAGGGCAGACCGTGCGTCCAGGAGAGAGCAGGCCCCTGCAACAGAAGAGCAACTGTTGCTAGCTACGGCTAGCTCTTACACTACTACCACCTTGAGTATGGTTAGCATCCACTAGACCTTCTTGCTGGTTTCATTGAATGTAATTTCATACAGTCAGCGGGAACCTGAGCTAGACTTGTAGGACACTAGCCTTCGCTACTTCCTGTTGACTCTATATATAAATCCAAAGAAAATGCTTCGAGTTGATCTACAAGTCAAGAGTAGAAGAGCAGATTCCTGACAAGTATTAGATAGCTAAATGCATGGGTGCACATGTAAATGGCACTTTTGAGATACCGTAATCACCCGGATATAACACCCTAGGGTCTTACTTTAAATACAGTGAAGAAATGGGGGGGGTCTCTCAATGGCAAAAGCTACATAACACCCGGGTTCATATATATAGCACATGTTTTTTTAAGCAGAATTGATTGGAAAGAAAAACAGGGTTCTTACTTGACTGGGAAAATGGTGTTCGCGCGCGCGAAATCGAGTATGCGACGATAATGCTGTTGGAAACAACTGATTTAAGCGCCTCTGTCGTGTCGAAACACCAAGACAGAAGCGAAGCAGATCGTATCGAAACATCGGTGAGTCAACCCTCGGAGGTTGAACAACTGCTGGAGGTTACGTGAAAGTCAAAGGTCAGCGACCTTTGACCTGACAAATACAGCGCGACAGCAAGGACAAACAACTGTCTCGATACTGAGCAGTTGCCCGAGTCGACACTGTATCGATCCGCAACAGCAACAGTAAAACAGTTATTAACTGTATCTCTTTATATTCCTCTGTATTCTTATAAAAGCTTGTGTCTCTTTTGTTATTATCAACTTACTTAGCCCTCACACACAAGCGCAAGGTGGTTCACAATCCTTTAATTAAACGCTTCCGCTACTACATCATCCTACTCTCGAATTCTGTCCTGCAAAGATCCTAAGGGCCTTCTCAGCCCAACATGGTATGAGAGCAGTCAGGAAAATTCAACTACGATCAAGATATCTACGACATCTCAAGACATGGCAACGCAGAAGGAGAGAAGCTCCTCTAACGGCTCTCCTGGCACTACTCCTACTCCACCTCTTGCCTCTGGCCTACAGACAGAGGAGGGTACGGCAACAAGACCAAGGGCATCGTCTTCGGAAACTCCCGCAAATCAAGCTGCGGCCTTCGATCCAGACATGATGGAGAAGTTCTTCTCCTTTATGTCCTTCTACGAGCAACACCAGCAAGGGGCACCTGCACAGTCAAACAACAGCAACAACAACGCAACACCGATGAGCCTCGACGGTTCATCCTATGCACGAGGAAATCAACAGCAACGGCCTACCTTTGCCCCGTATGAGCCCCAGCGTGGCTCCGTCAGCTTTATGCCACACCCGCAGCCTGCATCCGGACAAGAAAAGACATTGGATGCACTTCAAGTTCAGTCGCAGTTCGCGCACGTTTTAAAACTACAAACGACAAGGCCTTTCGACGGAAAGGATTTCTTTACCTGGTCATTCGAGTTCGAGCTAATGATGGAAGGCGCGCTGATTTTTGGCTTCTTCGACGGGTCCCTGCCATACCCAACACACGGCACACAGTACGATAAGCAGCAGTACACGTATCAGTCAATGATGGCGTACACAATACTGCTGAGAAATATCACTCCAAGTCAGCAGCAGAATATACGGTCTTACCGAGGATACGGCAACTCTGCAGAACTCGCGTACAACCACCTGAAGAACCTGTATCAAGCAACAGACAGCGTAAACCAAAGTCGG